TATATATATATATATATATATATATATATATCTCATATTGGGAGATTATATATCTATATTCTATATAGACACATAGAATAAAACAGCTACTGTCCCATAGTTTGTTTTCACTTTTTCAATGTGGCTGCCAGAACGTTAGGCATGTGCTCTACACCTCCACTGGCTGGTGCTGTGGCCGGCCTGGCTCTGTGATTTCTAAACTCAGTCATGTGGGTCAGGTAGGGACTCAGTCTTTTGTTTTCTGAAATAGAGTCTCAACCCTTAACCAGGGTGACCCAGTCTGGCCTTGAGCTTGTGGTGATCCTCCTGCCTCAGTCTCAGGTTGGACGCTGGACAGGTGTGAGAGCCTCCACCCCTGGCTTTTTGGGTCATGTTCTCTATGTGATACATTTGCAACAGAAAACAAAACAAAACAAAAAAAAAACCTTTAAGGTGCTGAATGTGTAGCTTGGTGGAAAAACAAACTTGCCTAGCACGTACGATGCCCTGGCTCAGATAACTGTTCAAACAAATCAAGCAACCCTCTGTGGAGACATAGCCCCCCCAGAAGGTTCTGGGGGGCGCTCAGGGGACCGGGTGGTACCGGAGGGCAGGCTGATGTGGCTGCTGCCTTCCCGCAGCTTGAGCAAGCGGCTGCGTTTGAAGGTGCCCTTGCGTTTGCGGACCCTGGGCTTCTCCTGGCTCAGCTGGCTCATGAGCAGGTGCAGCTCACGTTCTACGATGTCCATCTCGCGCTCGGCCAGCTCCTGCTCCCGTCGCCGAAGCTGCTCCTCCTGAAAACGCTGCTCCTGCGCGGCTCGCAGCAGCTCCTCTTCTCGGCTGCGCAACTCCTGGAGGGAGGGAGGGAGGGAGGGAGGCGGGTCTAGGGGAGGGGCTTAGCTGCTGAGGCCCGCCCAGGGCCCCAGGATCTTGTGAGCACCAGGCTCTGGGTTCATATTCTAGTTCAGACTTTACTAGCTAAGATGAGAGCCAGGGCGGGGGACTGAGTTAGCGCCAAAAAGGGGTGCTTTTTCTTTCTTTGTTTTTGCTTTTTTTGGGGGGGGGCGGGGGTAGGGTTTCATGTAACCTAGGCTGGTCTCCAACTCATTACATAGTGGAGGGCAACCTGCCCGCTTTGCGCTGCGCTGGAACCCAGGGTTTTGAGGATGCTAAGCAAGCGCGCTACACACCTCTACCTGTTTGCCAGCGCTCAGCTCTCCAGTTTGTTAAGTAACCTGTCCTTCGGTAAACAAGCATCCACAAAAGCAGAGAGTAGTGGAAAACTTCAAATAGGCCCCAAAGCAGAGAACAGCACCCCATTACTTCAACGGTTACCCACACCTCACAAGTCTGTCCTTTTCTCTTCTTTCCCCCCGCTCTTAACTGTTTTTGCTATCATGCTTAAAGCCCATTTCAGACAGCATGCAGCATCACCTGTAAGTACTTCAGTACAGCAACTGCCTTGACATGCAAAACACCCTCCATGGCCCCAAAAGGGGTGGGGAGGTTTCCGGGACCCGGGATTCTGAGCTGCCCAAGGCATCACGGCCCAGGGCATCCTGCCCCGCCCACCCGGGTCTCCGGCCTTCACCTTCTCCTTGGTCCGTAGGTCGTCGAACATGTGCTGAATCTCCAGTTTCCAGTCTTCCTGCAGCGAGTGGAAGGACTCCAGCGGCATCTGGAACAGGGCTGATTGTTCGATCACCTCCAGCTGCTTCAGGATGCTGCCAAAATCTGGTCGCCCATGAGGGTCGGGGTCCCAGCATTCTGGGGTGGGAAGGGGAGAGGGAGTGGAAGGAAACGGGGTGAGGGTCAGCATCCGTGCTCAGGGCAAGGCAAGACTAAGCTAAGTTCCTGGTAACATGCCACGGGGAACAATGGAGAGGAGGAACCCCGAGAACACTCAGCGGGATCCAGGTTGCGACAGGAAGCCCAGTGTCTGGCACGCTCCGGCGCTCACATGGGTCTGGGGTCCATGGAAGCAGTGATGGGCCCCCTGGGTTCGAGAGCCTTCTCCCCCATTCCTGGGCCCATTGGAATGCAAGGTTTGGTATAAAGGGGAGAGGTGTGCCCCATGGGACCCTGTCCCCAAAGCTGAGCCTACCCTCTCCACAGGGCCCTGGCTCACCCTCCAGTAGGCGGGCAAAGGGCTCGGGGCACGTGGAGGGAATGGGTAGCGTCAGCTTGTTCATAGCCACACCGTAAGCCACGGCCAAGGCGTCGATTTGTCGGTAGGGGACCTCCCCGGTCAGCAGCTCCCAGAGCAGCACCCCGAAGCTGCAGGCAGGAGAGGGAGGGTGATGCCGCGCCCACCCCAGTCTTCACTAGCACTCCAGCCCTCCCTTGTTGCTGCTGCCAGCCTAGCTGGCGAGGCCACGGGAGCCTGATTTGACCTCCATAGGTTTGCTCTTCAAAAGGTGGACAGGGTGGTCTCCTGACATTTTCTATTTTCTGGCCTCTACTCAAAACTAAAGTGGGAGCCCAATGCTTACTGGGAAAAGTCTGACTATTTTATTTATTTTTATAGACAGAGTCCCTGTAGTCCTAGCTGGCCTGGAACTCACTATGTCAATCTGCCTGGCCTCGAACTCAGAGATCCGCCTGCCTCTGCCTCCCGAGTGCTGGGATTAAAGGCGCCACCAACGCCCGGCCAGAGCCACATTTTTTAATGAAGTCATCATTTCTTTGTCTCTTTAACAACTGCTTTAGTGTGTGTGTGGGGGAGGGGCATGGCTCACATATGGAGGTCACAGGACAACTCGTAGGAGTTGGTTCTCTCCTACCATGGGGGCCCCTGGGATCAAACTCAGGTTGTCAACCTTGGCAGCCAACATCTTTACCCACTGGGCAATCTTGTAGGCCCTAAAATCAGATCTTAGAGAATGTTGAGGACTGAATCCAGGACTAATACATACCAGGCAGGCAGACACTCAGACACTGAGCTATGGCCCTAGCATCCGTCACAGCGGGAGCAGGAGCAGCCTCCTCTTCCTCCACCTCTAATGCAACATGGAGCTCACCATAGCCAAGGCTGACCTGGAGCTCACTATAAGGCCCACGATGAGCCCACCCTTGAAGTCCTCTGCCTCCTGAGTACTGTAATTACAGACGCATGCCACCACGCCTGGAAGCACACATCCTTCTTAGCAATGGCCTTCGATGACCCTTGCAGTGTTGCCTCTAGCCAGCCAGGCTCTTCCAAACCTCTGGCCTTTGTATACACTGCCCCTTTTGTCAAGAACACTCTCCCCTTCGTGTAATTTAACTTTGTCCTTCAAGCCTCGACTGAGGTAGCCCCCATCTGCCAGAAAGCCTTCCTTATTTGTATTCCCACAGTACTTACCTGTCAACACAAGTTAGGACTATTTCCCATGTATAAAGCACGTACTCCAGACCAGGCCCTGTGCTGGTAGGCTTAGTCACCCTTACAACAAAGCATCAAGGCAGAAGGCACTGGCCCGAGTCCATCTTGCCATCCTCATGGCAAGGGGCACTCCCTTCCCCCTCCTTCTCTCTGGCTGGAATGTGGATATAAACCCTGGAGCTCATCAGCATTCAGATCATGAAGATGGCCGGTTTTCAGCCGGGAGTAGCATGATGCCAGCACCCCCGTGTCCCTGGAAACCTACAGGGGTGTTTTGATTGTTACTCTGAGGAGTGCTACTGATACCGAGTGGCTGGGAGACACCAGGGCCCCTAGTGTCCTGACCTGTGACACCACCACTGTATTCAGGACCCCAGTCAGAAGGAGCCTGTGAGGCTGGGGCGCCACTATCACCAGGGCTTTCCAAAGGTTCGGCAACATATACAGAGGTGCGAGACCTCCCCCAACGGTGGCTATGCTAGAGAGCCAGCGGGGAACTCCTGTCTGACTTGGCTCTGCCCCAAATACATTGCTTTGTGACTTGAACAACTTGCAGCCTGACTAGTGACTGACAGTCAAAGGAGACACCAGGGTGTGGCTCCAATGAGGCCATGCATTCATAACTGTCCCAACGGCTGGCACTCACTGCACCTAAGAGTAACATGCAGGGTGTCCCTCAGCCACAGGTTCCTTCCTCAGTCCCTTTGGCCCTGCTGCAGTCCCACACTCTGGAACACTCACCTCAGCACCTCCTTTGAGGTACCCAGATTGCTTAGCTGGTTCCTTGCCCTTAGAACTCAGGTGATCACAGTGGCCCTGGGACACAGAGGTGACTCCCTGTCCACCCTACATCTTCACACACAAATACTTTCCCCATCTCTACAATTATTCCAGAATCTTCTTGTCTTCCTCCCCATCCCCAAAGACAAGCTCTTACTCCGTATCCCTGACTGGTCTGGAACAGGCTCCGTAGACCAGGCTGGTCTAAACTTACAGAGATCCATCTACCTGTCTGTCTCTATAGCCTGATGCTAGGATGAAGGGTGTGTACCACTATACCTGACAATGCTTCAACAGTTGGTTTTGTGTTGTGTGTGTGTGTGAGTGTGTGCACATGGAGGCCAGGGGTAAACCTCAGCTGTCAATCTCAGGGGTTTTTGAGACAGAGTCTCTCTATATAGACCTGGCTGTCTTGGAACTCACTCTGTAGACCAGACTGGCCTTGAACTCACAGAGACCTGCCTGCCTCTACCTCCCGAGTGCTGAGATTAAAGGCGTGAGTTATCATGCTTGGGTCCCCGGGTTTTTGTTTGTTTGTTTGTTTTTTGAGATAGGATAGCTCACTGAGATCGGAAGCTCATGGATTAGGTTAGACTGCCACCCACAGGGATCCCTGTCTCGGTCTCCTCAATGCCACTGGGATTATCAGCACAATCTACACGCCCAGCTTTTATGTGGATGCTGGGGGTTTACCTCAGGCTGTCATGCTTGCATGGAGAACATTTTACTAACGGGACTGTCTTCTCAGCCCCCACTTTCCAGTTTCCTTTTCATTTCTTGTTACTAACCCTGAGGGTTGTATTACTGGATTGAACTCAGGGCACTGCAATAAGCTATACAAGTATGTTCTTGCTGAGCCACACCCCCAGCCCCTCACTGGGTGAATTCTAGGCAGGGGCTCTACCTCTGAGCCACGCCCCAGCCCCTCACTGGGGTATTCTAGGCAGGGGCTCTCCCACTGAGCCACGCCCCCAGCCCCTCACTAGGGTATTCTAGGCAGGGTCTCCACCCCTGAGCCACGCCCCCAGCCCCTCACTAGGGTATTCTAGGCAGGGTCTCCACCCCTGAGCCACGCCCCCAGCCCCTCACTAGGGTATTCTAGGCAGGGTCTCCACCCCTGAGCCACGCCCCCAGCCCCTCACTAGGGTATTCTAGGCAGGGTCTCCACCCCTGAGCCACGCCCCCAGCCCCTCACTAGGGTATTCTAGGCAGGGTCTCCACCCCTGAGCCACGCCCCCAGCCCCTCACTAGGGTATTCTAGGCAGGGTCTCCACCCCTGAGCCACGCCCCCAGCCCCTCACTGGGGTATTCTAGGCAGGGGCTCTACCACTGAGTCACACCCCAGCCCATCACTGGGGGATTCTAGGCAGGAGCTCTACCACTGAGCCACACCCCTCAGATCCTCACTGGGGGATTCTAGGCAGGAGCTCTACCACTGAGCCACACCCCTCAGATCCTCACTGGGGGATTCTAGGCAGGAGCTCTACCACTGAGCTACATCCACTACCCTCGTTTTATTTTGATTTTGAGACAGGCTCTCACTAAGTTGCCCAGGCAGGCATTGAACTTGAATCCTGCCTCAGCCTTCTGAGTAGATGGGATAACAGACCTAAGCTACCAGGCAGGGTTCTCTTTGCTGATGGTTGTGCTCCTAGACAGCTGTGTGGGTAGAAGAATGGATGGCTGCGCCCAGGTCCTCAATCTCCCAATTCAATGGCTGTGTGGTAGAGGGTGTTTCAGGAGCACTTTAGTGCTAACATTTATTTCTTCCGAGATTTTTTTATTCAGGTGTAAATCCTTCCTCAGGACCTGCCTCAGCCCCAGGTACGCTTAACCGTTTGGTCACTGGTCTCCCACGGATGTCTCCCTCCCCACCAGCTCCCCCTCCCCCCCCTGGAGGACACCTGCCAGCCTCTCCGCACCTCCAGACATCGCTGCTTTTGGAGAAGAGGGAGAGGCGGATGACCTCGGGAGCCATCCAGGCGTAGGTCCCCGCGGCACTCATTTTGGTGGTCTTGTGCCACTCTCGGGCAAGGCCGAAGTCTGTGATCTTGAGCACCGTATCAGCGAGGTTATGGTTCTCAATGGCCTCCAAGATTAAGACTGTGGGTTGGAAGAAGGGTAAGTCACCAAGACCTGCCAGGCGGTGGGTGTCCCAGTCCCCTGCCTTCCTCTTTCCCTTCAATAGCTTATGGGTCCCCACTCCACCCAGTCCCTTCCTGCCCTGGACACCAGAAGCGACTCCTTGTTTCTAATCCCCAGGGGGCCTCTTGCAGCCACAGTCAGTGCTAGTCCCAGACGGTCACATGCCTGCTTTCTTTACTAACCAGGCAGACTGTATCACCCTATGCTTTAACTCTGACATGTTCATACTACTTATGCTGGCCAAGAAAAAGAGGGGATGGAGTGGGGGCTCAGCCATTGTGAGTGTGCACTGCTTTTGCAGAGCCCTGAACTGGATTCCCATCACTTTCACCAGTTTACAAGCACACACACACGCTCGCGCATGAAGGAAAAGGAAGACACAGTGACACAGTTGGGCATGGTGGCACATGCCTATAGATCCTGAGGCAGGAGGATAATATGTTGGAGGATAACCTGGACTATACAGCAAGACTTTGTTTTAAAATACCAAAAGAGCCGGGTGGTGGTGTGTTGGTGGTAGCCCGTGCTTTTAATCCCAGCACCCGGGAGGCAGAGGCAGGCGGATCTCTGAGTGTTCGAGACCAGCCTGGTCTACAAGAGCTAGTTCCAGGACAGCCTCCAAAGCCACAGAGAAACCCTGTCTCGAAAAACAAAACCAAACAGAAACCCCAAAAGAATGAAAAGAACATGACAGGCCAGTTCCAAGCCTGCAAGAAACCTCTGGTACAACCCTGGCCTTCTACCACCACCAGGATAACATGCTGTAAGTAGCCTACTGGTCCAAAGGAGATGGGAAACACTTGGGAGTAGAATCCTTCAACCCAAGGCCTGCTAAATCATTTTGTTCCCCGTCTAGTTATAAGAACACAGACAGTAACAAGCAGCTGTTTTTACGCACTTGAATTTTGGGGGTGGTTTGTTATGCAGCATCACTGTGATCAAGACTGACTGATACAAAAAACCAAGCATTATATACTATACAGAATACTGGAGCTGACTGGAGGCAGTGGGTCATCTAACAATGATGATAGCTATGGTTAGTGTCTCCACTGGGGCTAAATCCTTTCTAAGAATGGACTCGTAGCTCTTTATGTGCAATGGTCTTTTGCCTGCACGAGGGTGTTGGGTACCCTGGAACTGGAGTTACAGTTGTGAGCCTCCAAGTGGGTGCTGGGAATTGAACCTGGGTCCCCCAAAAGAACAGCCAGTGCTCTTAACTGCTGAGTCATCTCTCCAGCCCCTCATAACTCATTTTTATTGCCTAGCATACGAAATCTTAGAAAAGTACTTGGCCAAAAGCAAATGGCTGTTTAGACACCACTGCAAAGACTTGAACTTAGTGTTGCCATCCGTGCCCCATGTCTTAATGCTGGGATAGTTTTTGCTTTCCATGTTTGTGCATGTGTGAGGGATAAGTTCTAAACCCAAGGCCTCTTGCATCTGAGGCAAGCACTATAAGACCATGCTACAGTATCAGCTTCATATATTTTTAAGTTTTTTTTATGTATACATTTGTGTGGATGTTTATATGTCCAACGCGTGCGTGCCCTCCAGTGCCTGAAGAGACCCCAAGAGTACTGAAGCCCCTGGACCTGGAGACACTCATGTTTGTGAGGCACCATGTGGGTGCTGGGAACTGAAGCCCTGGAATCCAGATGCTCTGCAAGAAAAGCCTCTGCTTTAAACTTAACGACTGAGCCGTCTCTCCAGCCTCCAGCCTGGGTTTTGCTGTTTTGAGAGGTCCCACTGTAGCACAGTCTAGCCCCAAATCTACAGCAGTCCCCACGCTGCAGCCTCCCAAGTACTGGGGCTCTAGGCCAGTTTTACTATTTCTCCACAGAGTCGCTCTCTTCCCACCTCCTATTTGCCCTGCTTTCCCCATCTTTCTTTGTAAGGTTGAGTCCTTTTTGCTCAGTTCTCCCCCAGACATTTGTCTTTCCTGACCATCAAATCTGGAGATCACCTGTCTCACCCTGAATTCACTGCAATTCTCTCGGAGACGCTGTAACTTTCTGAAAATCTGGTATCAATCTCCCTTTTTTCCCTCTCTTTCTATCCTTCTATCCTTCTATCTATGGACTGTATGTATGCATGCATGTATGTATGTATCTATCATCCCCATATCTATAGGTGGACTGATCAATCAATTAATTTTCTTGTTTACTAGAATATAAATTTCATATTGAGAAGGAGCAGGATTTTCCTCCTCTTTTTTTTTTTTTTTTTTTTTTTTTTGTTGAGACAGTATCATTAGGTAGTCCTGGCTGTCCTGGAACTCACTCTGAAGACCAGGCTGGCCTTGAATAAAAAGAGATCTGCCTTCCTGTGTCTCCTGAGAACTGGGATTAAAGGCTTGGGATAGCATACTTGACTTTTCTTTTCCTTTAAAAAAAAAATATCTTTACCTATCTATGTGTATAAACTGTTCCACCCATGTGTGTCCCAGGGATTAAACTCTAGTTGCCAGGTTTGATACCAAGTGTCTTTGCCTGGCTAGTCATTATGCTGACCCCTGATGGATCGATGGATCTATCTATCTATCTATCTATCTATCTATCTATCTATCTATCTATCTATCCAAGGTCTTACACTGTAGTCCAAATTAGCCTGGAACTCACTATATAGCTCAGACTGGTCTCACACTTACGGCAATCCTCTTGCCCCAGCCTCCTAATACTAGGATTGCAGGCATGTGCCACTCACTATACCCAGCTGTCCCTAGTCTCTTCCATAAGCCTAGAGCCAAGGATAAAGCACAGTGGATGCTTAAGAATACCTAAACTAAGTTAGGCTAGGTGGTACACATTTGTAACTCCAGTACTTAGAAGATGGAGGTAGTGGGTTTGCAAGTTCAAAGCCTGGGCTACAAAGACCCTATCTCAAAAACCAAACCAAACACCAAAACCGAAACAACCGTCCAATCAAGATGGCTGAGCAGGTAAAGGTAGTTGCCACCAAGATTGATGATCTGAGTCCCATCCCCAGAGCCCTCACTGATGGAAGGAGAGAAGTGACTCTGGCAAGATGTCATCTGACTTCCACACATGCCTGGTGATGTGTATACCTGTCCCCCAATAATAAACAAATAAAGCGATTCAAACAAACAAACGAATGAATTATGGAAGCAAAGGACAAATGACATCAGATGAGGAACTTCTTGGGGAAGGCTGCAGGGACACTGTTGCAGGAGCCCATGTCCTTTACTGCCCAGAAGAAGCCCTGGCCTCCAGAGCCCAGCCACCTTGCCCAGGTTGTATTAGAGGTGGACTGTGGATTCTCTGACTGAGGAAGGGTCAAGGATCCCAGCTTGTACAAAGAGCATGCCAGTGGCCCTATCACCAGTCACCCCGCATTTTAGAAGCACTAGAATATGAGCATCCATGCAGGCAGAGACCGCCTGCATCTATTTTGCTGAGTCTCCCAGACTGGTACATGGTACATGGTCACTCTCTCTGTGGAATGTACGAATGCCAGGCATAGAAGATGGAGACCGCTCAGCCCTCTCTTCTAGGGCCTTAAGGTTGTAGTTGGTAACGTGGCAACAAGCAGTTGAGTGGATTCAAAGAAATATGAAAACATAAACCAACAGGTCAAAAGGAATTGCCCAGGAGTGAGGGTTAAAGGCAAAGGGAGGACTGTCACATTCCAGGTGTAAGTGTGACCCACTTGAGGGCAGGGGACATACTGGCCTCACTTGCAGTGGAAACCTCCTGCACATGCTCTGGCCTTGCAAATACCAAATGCATTAACAAGGCCATTGACTTATAAAATAAAAATGAAGGGGTGTGGAACAGGGCTCAGCAAGAGCGGGAGAGCTAGGGAGGAGCATCTAGCATCCAGCACACCAGAATGATCTAGAATGAATGAAAGTAATGTCTCATCTATGGGGACTTTCTGGGAAAGAAACCATAATGTTTTGGTGCTTGGAGTGAGTCTAACCTACTAGAGGCTCCATTAATATTTGCTGATGCCTTGTGATGCTTTTTTTTGGTCTAGATATGACTTCTAGGGACCCTTCCTCTCTACTTGGCCCACTGTCATTCAACCAACCAATCAGCTTTGAAGACCTCTTTGATTGGCAGGGCAGCCTGGTAGCATTTATATCAGCCACACTCTTCATCGTGGCCAGTTTGTCTCGGAGAACCAGTAGCATTTCAACAGTGGTTTTTCAGTTGGGGTGACTTGCCCCACTCCATCCCATCTCCAGGGGACATAAGGCAGTGTTTGGAGACAGTTTGGGTTTTGATAGCTGGGAGCAGGTCCCAATGAGCTCTTGTGGATAGAGGCCTAAGACGTGACTAAACAATGTAAAATGCACAGGGCAGTCCTCCCACCAGTGACATACCACAAATGCTAACAGTGACAGGCTTGCGAAACCCTGGCCCCAACTAAGCTAGGTTCTGCTTATTTCTGTCTGGTAGACTCTGGGGCCATGATCGGGTGGTGGGTATCGTGAAGACAGGCTGTGCACAGGAGTGTGAGCACAGGGACTGCCATAGTGTCATGGATACACAATCATTGGTGCACTGCGACTATAGCCCGAGAGACAGTCTACCTTTCAACCTTTCTAAGCATCCTTTTTTCTTCTTAATAGAGCCAAAGCCCCCCACCACCAGGCAGTTTACCGCTGTCCCTCCTTGCCCCATGCACAATGCCATCTGGTGTCCTTTGCGGTTTCCAGCCACCTGGTCTTGGCTTCACAAGCCTCAGCGGAAGAGAGTTTTGGGGAGAGAGGATACCACTTACTGTTGATGGACTTGAGGTCCCGGTGAATGATGGGGACAGGGGCATCGTTGTGTAGATAGTTCATGCCCCGAGCCACCTGCACGGCCCAGTTGACCAGCACGTGAGGGGGCACTCGGCGACCGGCCAGGACCCTGCTCAAGGCACCTCCCCGAGCGTACTCCATCACCAGGCAGAGGTTTGGGGGGCTGAGGCAGGCGCCCCTCAGGGCGATGATGTTGGGGTGCTGAAGGGCTCCGAAGAGCCGGGCCTCCTGGCGCACCTGCTCGGCTGTCACCGCGGGGTCCCGCTCAGGGTCCAGCCTGGCGGCCTTGACGGCCACCTCCTC